TAGACTGTAGGCAATATGATGGCTGGCAAAGAGCTTGCATATTAGCTAACACAGATAAGATCGAAATCTAGTCTAGAAAGGCTCAAAGAGTAGGCAAAATGGGATAGAGCTGCTCAGATGTCTGGCTAGACCCAGGCCACAGGTCTCCAAGTCAGTGTGATATTTTCTATTTTCTTTCTTTGTTAGGAATTACACACCTTTGTTAAAACCGTGTGGCATAGACTATAAAAGCCAAATCAGTTGAGGAAAGGAGGTTGATGGCTTTGAGTAGTCAAAGAAGAGGAGGTATGAGTGGGTAAAGTGTAAACAATAGGGGAGGAAGCAAAATAATCCAGCCCATGTGAAGGAAATACTTATTTTATCCACAGGACACAGACAAAACCAACCAGATGAACTTGAAAGGTACGTGTTGGGCAGTGGAGGGAAATTAGGCTGGAGGGATTTGAGAGTGTGGGAGAGGAACTTGGACTTGATGTGGTAAATCACTGGGAACTATTCTGGATCATCGAGCATGAATGACACAATGAAAGGATTGAGGAAGATCATATTTGTTTGCCAGGAGAACTGGATAGTGTCTGTGTTTTTCTTTTCTTACATTCTGTGTATTGGTCTTTTTATTACAAGTAGGTTAAACACTATGTGTTTTATCAGAATGGCTTATTTGTGTTACAACCACAAATTAAGCCTGAAATTACAGTAAGTGACTTAATATGTAAGTGTGTTTCTTGTATGTAGCACTTGTCCAACACAGGTGTGTGGAGCATGGGATGAGAGCTTCACTTACTCATTTAGGAACTTGGATTGGCAGAGGTGCCACCATCTAGAACACTACCAGTCGCTGTGGCAGGAGAAGAGCTGGATGCCACCTCCCTCACTGCTCTCTAACACTTCAACTTGCAAATGACATATGCCACTTTGGTCTCCAACCCATTGGCCAGAAATACTCACATGCCCCTGGCCGTCCCAAGAGAATATGAAGTTATTTGGTGAGCAGGAAGGGTCTATTTCAAGGCTTTCTGAGGATCTGGAACATATAATTTTACTTGTTTAAGAGAGAAATATAGTAGTGAAGTACAGGTGCTGGAGCCAGACTGCAAGTATAGAGCCCGGCCCCACCTTTGACTAGCTGTGTGACCTCAAGCAAGTTACTCATCCTCTCTGGAGCATAGTTTTGTCATCTGTAAAACAAGGATAGTACTCGGAACAAGGTGTACAGGATTATTGTGAGATTTGAATGAGGTTATATATGTACACTGCTTAGACCACTATGCTATGTAAGTTTTAGCAAGTATTTATTATTGTTATTACAAATTTAATCTGCTGATCTCAAAAAAGACTAAAGTTTTTGACTCAAGACCTCACAGGGAAAGAGACTGTAGTAATTTAGGCATATGATGGCCAGCATCTGGAGTAGGATGATGATACTGGACAAAGAAAAGGTGGGCAAGAGAGTGTGCAAGAGGAGAAAACCCAAGCACAGATTTGTTCACCGTCCAAATGCCTTGGAGGAGAGGATGCTCAGGAGTGGGTGACAGGGAATGCAGGTGGAGTTTGCAGAGAAATTAGGGGTTTGCAGAGAAGTTTTGATGCAATGATGAGGTGTTCTCCAAGACACAGGCAGCCACAGAAAAGGGAGGTATGGGGCCCAGGCAAGAGGGTGCAACTGAAGACCGAGCAGCTTTCAGTAAAAGTGGCATCTGAATGGTTTGGGTTTCAATCCCAGCTCTAGCCTACCTTGTGACCTTGGTTCTCTAGTTTCCATGTTAGCAAAATGGGGGATGATAATCTGACAGTCTTACTAAGGTAATGAGGGTTGAAGGAGATAATGCCTGTGCGATGCTTGGAAAGTGGTATGTAATTAATGATCAGTAACGTTCATTTTCACCACATTAAGGTTTTAGTTGAACAGACATTTGGGTGTTGTCTTTTAAGCAGTTTAGTGTAAAAGTTCCATTGGCAGCAGTCTGAGTGCTTGTTATAGTCCTCCCGGGGTTTGAAAGAATGGGCCTTGTTACTGAGCCACTTCTAATCTCCATGCTTTTCATTTTTTGTTCTTTACCTGAATAGTCAATGAATAAATATTTTTAGCTTTGCAGAGAATAACAATTACAGTGGGCTGAAAATTGACCAGAATAGATCATTTTAAGGGCTAATTTAAGACCAGCACGTCTCCTTTTAAAATTATGTGCCATATTTTACTCATTGGCAGGAACCACTGTCCTTAACTCTTGAAATACCAAATTGTTTCTGTACCTGTTTCACATTGGCTTGTGAGCTAATCAGTTCTCTCCTTTGCATCTCCAAGGGCATGTGCTCTGCACTGTGTCCCTGTCTTTGGTCCACGTACACACTGTAGCATATGCAGTTAAGCATCTAGGGTATTTCTTATTTCACTGGAATTAAGAACTTCACAGACCGGCTTGGC